TCTGAGTTGTAACTCATGACTAAAAAAACGAGGCGGCTTTCACTTCGTCGAATTTCAGAGAGGATTACAATTAAAAAAAGACAAAACTACACTGTAATCTTAAATAACAAAGGTGAACTGTTAGAATATCATATGACTGAGTTAAATTACCATTATATTTGTACATTTTTAGTGTTTGGAGTTGAATATTTGTACATTAAGAGTTGAACTTGAACTAATTTATTTCATAAATAAACTAGATGATTAGTAGAATATAGCTGGGGGTACAATATGTCTGTATTATACTCAATTGTGATCACTCCCCTGTCCTGTATAGTCTCTAAAATTTCAACGAACTTAATAAAGTTATTTGATTAACTCACTGTTTCGAAAAAAATCTAGAACTAACATGAAGAAAACATCTGAAATTTTTCGTTCAAGGTGAAAACCGAAAGATTATATAAAATATTGATCTGCATATACAAACGGTTCAATTTAAACATGGTCATATGCTCCCCTAAGTCGAGCAAAGAACTCACCAAGACAATAGCCAGAATAGCCCACCCAAACCAATCACAATTGGAAACAAAAATGACGGCGAGGGTGGAGGCTTACCAATCACCAGGGAAACGCACGCAATGTGCAGTATTGGCCTTTCCTTTTGTTAATTTGTCAACTAGTTAAACAATTTAACCCAAAATTGTTAGTTTGGTGTTTGCTAACAATCTACAAATTTCTGCAACACCAAATCACTTACAGAAGTTTCCACATGATGAAGGCATCCGCCTTTGAGGCCCACATGGACAACAAATTGGCTACATTAAATACGGAAGGAGAGAAATGTTAATCCTGAGTCAGAAGTGAGATGAAATGCCAAAGAGTATTTGGGGGAGGATGGATCAAACACAGGATTCTTATTCTAATTCTTCGTTTTGAATAATTTCCTTTAAAATTATCATCATGACCTTAAGCACAAATATTGTAATCGTAAATCAACTAAGATTGACTTCAAAGTATAATTCAAGAAGTTCAATATTAGAAAACTTCACGATGGAAGGAAAAAAGAAAACAGTATAATTTTGATGTATGTATATAAGCATGGAGGGCAGGGATGATAACCAGCCAAATGCTTAAATAAAATTAAAATAAATAACTTAAGAAGAAAATAGTGGAACTATGATGATTATCAATGACTATGATATTGGTGTTAGAAGGCCACCTGAGTGTTCTCAATAATATGACCCTCTTCATCTCGCAGTCTGCAACATAAGTACCAGAAACCATGCAGTGAAATCAACATAGTCTAAACTTGTCAGTCTCTGGTCATAATAAAATAAATAAAACATGGCTTGCCTCTCGCATATCTTCACTACATTTGCCCCAGCATCTGGCTCACATTTGCGTGTCTGAACATAATACTCTTCAGGTTTATAAGGAACATCCTGTGAACAAGCAAGTCTCACTTAATCATACAAAAGATCAAACTACATCCAAAGCCATTAGCTATATAAATAAAATTATTAAAATACTACTAATTATCCAAAACTATGATGAAATGATGATAGATTAGTTCTCAATAATAAAAAATAGTTGTGTTATTTATATTTTAACTCGCAACAACATTTTGTTTGTCTCTTTCTCTCACTCCACATTACATCTTTTAAGACGTATCATATCAACCAAATAACATCTCTGTAACACTAAATTATCACATGTATAGTCCAATAACTACAGAAGAGTACCATACTCGTATATATGTTAACTCATACAACGCATACGCAGAAGTTTTATTGATCGTTATCACGGGTGGAATCCGCAATGTCTGCATTTTCCTGGTTGAATTTTCCTCCACTTCCACCAATTCCGCAACAATCGAAGCCTCTCCTCCACTCTGCGCAATCACAAAACAACATCAACAAACAGAAATGCATAAACACTGCGTGGCGTACTTTATAATTTACCGAGCCACTGGGAACAGCCATGTTCACTACGATTTTGGTGGTACAATTGAGATTTTTGGAGTCTGAGTTCTTCTCGCACTTCTCGAGTTTCGATTTGGAGATTATTTGAATTCCACTGACCAGGAACACGAGGAAGCAAAAAAGTATGAAGATGATTAGAATGACACTGATACGGGAATGCAATGCCATTTTTGGGCGGTTACGGATTTCTACTATGGACTACTTTTCTAATTGCCGAGGGATGGATGGTGAAAACAGAATGAAGGAAGTTTGGCGGTTTTTCTTTTCTTGTGATTTTCTTTTTTGAAAGAAAGTTTAATTGATCACATTCCCAACTTTTCTTGCATTCTAAGAATACCATGGAGAGAAACTCAAACTTTTGATCCACAACTGCCAATAGGATTCACTTCTTTTTTATATAAACTTATAAAAAGCTAAGAATTCATTTACTTTTTTTTTACTTTTAATTACAAAGGTCGCGTTGTTTTTCATTTATTTCTTATTTTTTAAATAAGTTGAATAAGAAAACGTGTAAACAAAAAGAGAAATTATTTTATCGTGTTATGTACAAATCTTTGAAAATGGAAAATAAAGTGACAATTTTACCTTTAAAAATACAAATATTGCTTGCAAAACATTTTGTTGCTGTTCGATTTATAATGTTTGAAGGTTTAATTTTTATAAATTTTGATTATATTATTTTCAATTTATGCAAAACAAAACTAAATGAATAATTAAAAAAAAAAAACAAAGTTCACATTGAACCCTTCAGATTTGTTTCTTCTTCTTAACTTAACCATTTACTTTAGATTTTGAATTTAAAAATAAATCATATCTAATTTGTATGTTTAGTTGCAGTGACTATTTAATAAATAATAGAGCAAAATTTACCCCAAATATTCTTTGTGTAGCTGTATATTATAAACGTTTCTTTTTATTTTATTTTTGATTCTTAATTGTATGACATACAATTATGGATTTTTTCTATTATGTCCTTGTAAGTTTTTCTTATTAATGTACATCGTTGTAAAGATTGTTAATATATAAAAAACTTAATTTTATTACATTTATTAATAACATAAATAATAAAATAATATATATATATATATATATATATAATACTTATTTTAATATTTAATTTATAACTTTAATTTAAATGAGAATAAAAAAAAAATAGTATATATTTTATATTTGTATGAAAGGAACTGTAACATTCATCTAATGTAATGTTTGAAGAAAGAATTAGGTTATGTTGCTTTGCGAAGAATATACTATTAATCATGATTTGTGCATACGGATTATGAAACAAAGTTACTTTTACTTGTAAAGATTTACAAAAAGGAAAAAGTGCGAATTTGTGAGATGTGTTCTTTTCTAATAATCGTTGTGGGGTGATTTCTGATTAATTGATATTTCCTTTTGATAATTACTGGTGGGATAATTGATTTTGAGTAATCAAAGTTTGAAGACAAAGGCTATAATCTCTATTCGAATCTAGGAGCACGTATCCGAATCTAGGATAGCGTATCGGATCTTCCTCCAACGTTATTTAAATACAAATTTATTTAATTTTTATAATTAATTTTTAATTTTATATAAATATATATATTTTAAAAATAAAATTTATCCAAATATCACTTATTAAAACAAAAATTATTTTATTTTCAAATAATTTGATTTTCTTTTTACTCTTATAAAATTTTGGTTAAATATGTGTTTTAGTCCCTCAACTATCAAACGATTTTATTTTTCGTCTTTCTTTCAAACTTTGACACACTTTGATCCTTGTTCTTGAAACTATAATTTTTCGTCCTCCACGTAGTTAGAATTAGGCTGATTGCTAATGAATTGCCACGTCATTATTTTTTTTCTGACACTAAGTCAATATGTCCCTCACCGTACTAATGACTGAACAATATTGTTAATGGCCGAACTCCAAAATAACGTAGTTAGAATTAGGCTGAGGGGCTAACGGATTGCCACGTCATTTTTTTTTTCTGACACTAAGTCAATATGTCTCTACCGTACGGTAATGACTGAACAATATTTATCGAACGTTAATGGCCGAACGGTTATGACGACTAAATGATTGATGACCGAACGGCGAGACAGATTAACTCAGTGTGAGAAAAAAAAATGATGTGACACTTCACGTTAGCCAATCACCTAATTTTTAACACTGTTTGTTTTGAAGGACCAAAATTATGATTTTCTTGAAAGGAAGCAAAAGTACAAAGGAAAAAATGACGAAAAACAAAATACGTGAAGTTGAATGAAAACATATAACCAAACAAATAGGAGATAAAAAATAATATATATTCCACAAAAACATACTAATATTCATCAACTAAAATAAACACATATTTTTATCTATCACATTCATCAAATCATACATAAACTTTCACAAATTTTATTTAAATTCAATTCCTAATTCTTTCAATTCATCTACTTCCTCTCTCTCAAATATGTCCACCAAAATAACATACCCTTAGATAAGTTGGAAGTTCAACTCTTTTACTGATTTCAAATGTTAGATATAAAAAAGTTGTAATTCTATTGTGAAATTAGAATAAGGTTACACATTTATTTTTAGTCAACAAGTAATTTCTATGTTTACTGTTTTTTTTTCTTGAATTTTATATATGTAAGTTAGTATGTAAACATATAATATGGATATGAAAGTGTTACAGAAATTTTAAGCTTTATGGGTTGAAATAAACTAGCAACGGAATGAATGCACTATGGTCCCTCTTCTGTAAAAGTAGAAAATTTTACCACACATTGTTCATCTATTTACTTATGATCAATCTACACAGGCTATCCAAATAAATCTTACGTGGCAAATTCTGATTTGGTAGGAGAGGTATTCCATGATATGTTTGTAGATATTGATCTGTGCTGGTGAGGGTAGCAAGACAAACAATTAGGAACGGAATAGTGGACACAAATCATATTCCAAATTCAAACCAATAGAAATTGAAATATAGATATCATATGATATTTAGATAAGAATCCTTTTCTCAATTAACCTATATATATATATAATGCTCCTCTAGTCTACCACCACAGCAGGCACCATTCTTAACTATTCTCTCCACTTTCACTTACAAAGCTTTTCACTGTTTAACAATGGCTGCTTCAACAATGGCTCTCTCTTCACCGTCATTGGCTGGCCAAGCAATCAAGCTCTCCCCCTCCACCCCTGACCTTTCCGGTGGAAGGATTTCCATGAGGAAAACAGCCTCTAAGTCTGTTTCCTCTGGAAGCCCATGGTACGGCCCAGACCGTGTCAAGTATTTGGGCCCATTCTCCGGTGAGGCCCCATCTTACCTCACTGGTGAATTCCCAGGTGACTATGGTTGGGACACTGCTGGGCTTTCTGCTGACCCGGAGACCTTTGCTAAAAACCGTGAACTTGAAGTCATCCACTCCAGATGGGCCATGTTGGGAGCCTTGGGCTGTGTTTTCCCCGAACTCTTGTCCCGTAACGGTGTGAAGTTCGGCGAGGCCGTGTGGTTTAAGGCTGGGTCTCAGATATTCAGTGAGGGTGGACTTGACTACTTGGGCAACCCGAGCCTGATTCATGCACAGAGCATCCTTGCTATTTGGGCCTCTCAGGTTATTTTGATGGGTGCCGTTGAGGGTTACCGTATTGCCGGTGGGCCTCTTGGTGAGGTGACCGACCCAATTTACCCAGGTGGAAGCTTCGACCCATTGGGCCTTGCTGATGACCCAGATGCTTTTGCTGAGTTGAAGGTGAAAGAGCTGAAGAACGGTAGATTAGCCATGTTCTCCATGTTCGGTTTCTTTGTTCAGGCGATTGTGACCGGAAAGGGACCCCTGGAAAACCTTGCAGACCACCTTGCAGACCCAGTCAACAACAATGCTTGGGCATATGCCACAAACTTTGTCCCCGGAAAGTGAGAAAAATTAAATTAAAACAGTGGGAAACTACCACTGGAGTGTGACTTTCAACTTTTTTAATGCAATGAAATATATATTCGATAATCATCATGTCTTTTTCCTATCTTTCCATCTTTTCTGAATTTTGTATCCATTTTGCACATTATTCACCAAGCTAATTAATAATCACCAAAATGCATTTACCAAATTAACAACATAGGACACCAATATATTAAAAAGCATTCAAGTACTTCGCAGGCCTAGCATCTTGTTATTTATATAATTTGGTAGCAAAAGGGAAATAGTACAAAGTTTAACTTCAATTGAGAAAAAACCTTGCGAACGACTCCAAACTTCTTGTTTTGTGCTTCCAGCTTTAGGACTACCAAGACAAGCTATCTTTAATTGTTTCTTAATTTTATTTTCATTTGCAAAATTATAAAAATCCTCGTTTGAATTTAATCCACTTCTCATTTAAGTGCTTCTTAATTTCAATTTTTACAAAACTAAAAAACGTATTATGTATTTATTAAATTTTCTATAATTAAAAGTCAAAATTGAAAAACGCCCCCATCGGCAAAGAAGAACAATTAAAATTAACAAAAAGAATATATTTTTTATATAGCTAAGAACATAAGGAGAGAAGAGTACAATGCAATGCACACAAATCAAAACTGCTAATAATTAAAAATCAAAACTACTAATCATTTAAAATAAAGAAATATCTAAAATACTTATGATTTTATTAACAATATCTAGAAAGTTTTTATTAGTAAAGAAGAAACTCCTAAAAAAGAGTTTATATCTTTCCATTAACACTTTAAATACCTTATTGTAGTTGGTTGTTTCAAGTAAAAAAGATCGAGTTTTCTTTTTTATTTTCATCTCTTCGTCTAACAAAGTTATATTAAGAGTTAGATGTGATTTAGAAAGTTGAGAGAAAAATAAAATAAAATTGAGAGATGGCTATTATCTTCCTATATTTTGGTCTTACAAAAAAAAATTATAAGAAAATAATGTCTTCATATAAAATTGTTGGTTAACTTTCAATATGTTTGAGAGATTGTAAAAAAAAACTATAAGAAGTCTTAAGATGAAGATAAATTATCTCCACATGAGATGGAAACTTTGTACAAAGCAAGAAAAAATTATCAACAAGTTCTTACTTTTATCTAAAGGATGTTTGAATGACATGTTTAAGAATATTGTCTATGTTACTACTTCAAAGGAAGCTTAGGACATATTGGAAAAATCACTCAAAGGTTTTTTTAGCAAAGGAAAGAAAAAGAGATTTCAATTATTAAGGAATGACTTTGAAAATTTAAAGATGAAATAGTCCAGATCAAATTTTAATTATTACTCAGGAAAAATGTGATTGTTAATCAATTGAGAAAAACATGAAAATGAAATAGAAAATGTTTATGCGATAAAGAATGTTCCTTTGAGTCCAAAGTTTGATTATATGGTATGCGTGACTGAAGAGTCAAAATATATTAAAAGATAAATGTGCAAGATAAAACATGGTGTTGAAAGAAAAATAGAAGTGAAAGAGACGTCTTCAATCAATAGTCTTAATCAATAGTATGAAGTATGACTTCTTAGAAATCAAGCGAGAAAAAGTTTTACAAAACTAATTGTCTCAATAATAACTGAGTCTCTTCAAGGTGTATACATAGATGCATGTCATCCAATTAATCTACATTATTCAAAAAAAAATATTTCTTTTTATTTATGATTTTAGTAGAAAAAACGTGAATATACTTTGTCAAACAAAAATTTAACTTTTATTGCTTCTCAATAAAATGAAGTAATTAAGAAAAAATAAATAAAAACATTCTCAACATAACTACATGTTAAAATCTAAAAATACATTAAGCTGAAGTTATTTATTGTGTAACTGTTCCGTTTAATAAATCTCCAACATCTAATTAAAATATCAAATTACTCAAAAGAAAACATAAAGTAAAAGAAAAACTAGTATTGATTATTTGTGGATGTAAGAGTATATCATAACCTATTAACCAAAACAATATCGCTTAAAATACCAAACATATCTTCGCAATAATATCAAGAAAAAACGAAGTGAAGAAAGATTGGAGAACCAATAATTTTGTGGCAAGTGAGAAAATACATTAAAAAAAAATAACAACAGTAATTTATTACGTGGAGGAAATGAAAGTTGTCATAAATAAAATTTTCTTTTATTATATTTCGATACATGTTGAATAATTTTTTATAATAAAAAAATATTCCATGGTACTTTAATATAATTTAAATATAAAACCTTAAGAGAATTTAATTTTAATATTTGTGATTAGAGAAACATATGAAAGTTTCATTGAAAAGGACAAAAACTTCACATCCTAACATATGCTTTAACATTTATCTGTTGCACCACCACATTTATTTTTTCTCCCTGTCAAATTGAATTTACTTCAATCCATGGACACAAACTAATGACATGAACCATAAATAAAGGAGAAAGCAACATAACAACAACCTAGTCGAATTAAGTGAGAGAAAAGTAACAGTATACGTAACTTGTTAGAGAACCACTACTATTAAATTAAATGTTTTCTTATAAAAAAAACTGTTTTGTTATAATTCTACTTATAATCTAATATTCTTTATAAAAATTTAGATTATTTTCTTAAGTTACATTTTTATTCAATTTAAAATAATATACTTTATTATATTACTTTTTTTTATAACCTTGTAGTTAATTAACCTTAGTAAATCTTACCATTATTTTTAAGTAAGGAAAGAAGCTAAAAAAAAAATTGCACAATTATATTTTCTTTGGCTTTTATAATGTAAATCTTGTCTCATCAATTAATATTTATTTCAGGAGATAAAAGGAAATATCCATGTATTTATTTCAGGAGATAAAAGGAAATATTCATGTGGCCTCGTTTATAAATAAGTATTAAAATATTAATTATTTATATAATAATAAATATTTATAATATTAATTATTTATTATAAATTTCATTCCTGAATATTTACATATTTTTACCATCTTTAAAAGTTATTACTAAGACTAACACACTTTTTCATTGAAAAGATTTGTTATACAAAAAAAGTTATTAAATTATAAAATGACTTTTAATTATAAAAATAAATAATTTTTATAATTTTTTATTATATAAATACTTTTTTATTATAAATAATTATTTAAATTTTAAAAAAATTATTAAAAGAGATAAAATTAAGAAATACATTTATATTATAATTGATTATTTATATTTTTAAAAATAGTTAAAAAATGATAAAATAAAAAAAATGTAGATAATTTTTTTTATATAATGTTTCTGTGTAGATATTTTCCGGTTGTCTCTGTTGCTTCTAAATGTCTGGGACGCTCGATTATCCTCAATTTTTTTTATATAATTTTTTTTATATAATGTTTCCGTGTAGATATTTTTCGGTTGTCTTTGTTGCTTCTAAATGTTTCCGCGTAGATATTTTAATATTTACTACTTTCGTCTAAAAACTGTTACAGTAAAGACCTGGATTTCAACAGGTTGATGAAAAATAGTTTTTTTTTTGTACTAAAGGCCCACCTTAATTATGATCCTTTAAAGGTGGAAACTTCAACTTCAAACCTAGTTATTTTTTTAAGTTTTATTAGAACTGATAGTCAAGTCAACACAATAGTCATGACGCTAATTCGACGAGGCTTAATAAACATTTTTAAAATAATAATTAAAGTAATAGTAACGATAAGTATAATAAAAGAAAATTCAGTATTTTTAAAATATTTAAATAATTTAATTAAAATAAATGTAATAATTCATAATAAAAATTTTAAAACCCAAATCCACAGTACCTTTTTTCTTTCTATTTATACGACTATTTGTGTTCTTAGTTTTTACCTCAAAGGCAAGTTTACAAGCTGGATCTCTCTCTCTTGTCATCAAATAATCACCTTTTAGTGGAGTAGTTGTAATATAATTAAGTAATGGTTTAATGTCTTGGTAGGTCTTTATTTTCGTTTGGAATTTTAAATAAGTTTTTTTCTTTTTATGCGTCTCAATTGGATCCTTGTTTTTGTAAAATTAAAGTAATTAGGGGCTTTTCGTCAAATTGAGAAGACGCGGTTAAGAAAGATGTTTCGTGACATGCTGACAATGTCTTTTTAAATGATTTGACATTAAAAACGTTTGTGAAGTGTATCTTTTTTAAAATTTGAATTAAAAAATGGAGTGCAAAGAGGGAAAATAAAATTTAAGTAAGGGCAAAGTGGTCATCTCATTTCATAGAACACATGGAAAGGTGGAAGAGCACTGTCAACACCAAACATTGCTCCTGGAATGTCATCCTTCATCTTTTAACCAAATCACAGCCACCGTAGATAGAAATGCAAATTGCAGGAACCCAATCGCGAGTTCGCCCAACATTTTCACCATTGCGAGACGAAATCAGAACCTGCGAAAATTCCCAAATCAAAAACCAGAAAAAAGATGTATGTGAACTGATTCAAAATCGACAAAAAAAAATTGAATCTGTGAAAATTCTCAAATCAACTGCCACTATGAAACATCTTCACCTGACCACCTTGTCAATGCCGTGTGTAGAAACCACTGTCTTCGCAACCTGAAACGTATAAAAACCAGAAACGGCAGAAGAACCCTAAAACACAGAAAAAATCCCCAAATCAGCAAACCCTAGTCGCGCAAGCACGATTAAGAGGAGGCGAAACTCAGGAGTGTGATTCCCTTCGTTTTCCACCATCATCGCGAGAGATAATTAGAATCGTGAAGCACCTGCAAAAATCAAAACCCAACCACAGGAGAATTTTTTCTCTCGCGCATAGAGATCTCCATGGCAATTGGCAACAACACACTTCGCGACAGGTAGAGAAGGCAGAAGCAAGCATTCCAAATCCTAATTCTAAAATCCTAATTTGGGTGAGAGAGGGGCTTCCACATGGCAAACCCCCATTTGATACTTAATTTAATTTGATTTCCCAACTTTACCATTACTTATATTATATTTCCACTATATAAACTTCATTTTTTAATTTAAAAATAAAATAAATACAATTGAGACATGTTTTTAATGCCACATCA